ATCAGCTTTGCAGACCTTAGAGGCCTGCGATGCTGCTGCAAGGCAGACGGAGGACTGTCAACACTGACAACTGTACAATTAAGAGTCCGGTCTATGACATGCTGAGCATAATAATCAAACCTGCATGAGTAAGCAAAGCAGAACCTAAACATTGACAGAAATTTTGCAGTGTCGGGACAGTAACTCGTGTTGGCACGTATGAACTACTGCCTAGAAACATGCGAATAGGCGAGAGGCCGTATGCATTAGAGATTGGTAGCTTGAAATTCGTTTATGGTGCCTGACACCTGGTCCTTTGGCGATCACTGACCAGAAAGTGATACCAGCCACTTGGCCACTACTGAGCGAACACAGCTCGCAACTAGCAGGCAGCAGCAGCAAAAGCAATTTCACCTCGTGGATTGTCCTCAGCAGCCAGCAACGGTAATGACAATGATTCTGCTCCTCATGATGCACCAGACATTGAACATGTTCGTGACGACAGTGGGAATGAGAATGTCAATGAAAGCGGGATTCGGAATGAGGAGTAAAACCATATTGATCATCAGGACGCAAACGACGTTCCTTCTTTGCCATTTGCTGAGTGTTAAGGGCAAACGAGGGTACGAAGACTGATGGTGACGGCAAACGTGAGAACATACTGCGACCATGCTGGCATAACAGTAAACGAAACCACGTCGGCGCACCCGTGCAAAGCTCTCTAGTGCCGTGCTTTTTGCCGGCGGGTTGGTGAGAGCCTGGGCAGCATGGTGGGTACAGGTCGAAACAGTCGTATAGGGTCTAACCTGAACCCAGTTTTGGGGGTTTGTGCTGTACCAATGGGTTTGAGCGGCCAAGGGCATCGCTTCGGGTCGTGCACTTCGGGTGTTGGACTTCTTGCGCCTCTTGCGCAGATCGTTTAGGATCTGGTCTAGGCGTGTACATAAACCTGAGATCAGTACAGATGCTCACCCCCCCCCTTTTTTAGGTTAGGGTTTAGGCTAGGGTTTAGGGGACTCCATAATGGCATCCCGATTTTCCTCCTGCTTGAGGAAAAGGGTTCCAAGAATGAGGGTACCAGATTGGGGTTTCGAGCCTGCGTTGAAGTATCAAGTCTGGAACTGGTTCTAGAAGGGATACTCCAGTCCAAGCCCAGACCCAAAACCCCCGCATTCTAGATCCTAAAGCACTAGCCTTTGTTTGGTTCGGCTCAGAAACTGCAGACTACACCTGAAACCCGTGTCCCCTGTCCTGGGATTTAGGGCTTGGGGTCTACTATTTCGCGTGCAGGTGTTGGGATTCAGGATCTAGTTTCTGGGACTTCGGATTGTTTAGGGGTCTGGGGCCCGTACGACCCCTTGCGTGAAGCCTGCTTCCTCAGCAGCCGAACCTTCTGTCACACCAATTCGTAGCGTCGTAATGCTGAAACCACTACAGTTTACAATCTTGAGCCCGCTATCGTTTTCCGAGAGTGGGGTCTGAGACGCTGGAAATCGGTAGAGCTTCCTGAGGATAGCGCATGGATGCAAGCCGACGGCGTCGAGCTCCTTCGCAGCATCTCTAAATCCTAAACCCAAGGCCTCAATGATTTGCATCAAGGATCCCGATTCAAAATTCGGCAACAAACCCCTCAACCCCTAAGCCCTTAAAGCGTGTTAAGCCCGGGGCCTGGGACCAGAGGTTTGGGGGGGTTTTGGGGGTTTGGGGCTGAGCGACAAAACCATCCATGAGGCTGGATTCAGACTTTGTACCGAAACAACCAACCCTACGTACCAAACCGCAGCTTCGGGCGGCAGACGGCTTCAGTTTTTGAAGGTTTCGGGCTTGGGGTACCATAGGTTCAGGGTTCAGGGCAACTAGCGGACTAGCGCACCACAAGGAATGCCATGACGGCTCAAGACTTCAAGGTAAACCCTGAACCCTAAACTGAGGGCCAGAACCCTTCCAAACCCAACACACGAACTCCTGGTGTCGTGCATCAGCTGAAGCGGAGTTGGGCTTCGCGAAGATTGCAGATCCCTGGCCTTGAGTGTGTAAGATTTTGTAGACAAGGTAAAGCGACTGGACTGGCATCTAGTCTAAGGTTTCAGGCTTGGAGCCTCGGGCTTAAGGCTTCGGGTTGAGGAAGGCGTCAAGCATCGCGGTGTCAAGGTCCATTCCCTTCGGCTTGGCTCAAAGGATTGTATCGAGGCTGCACACCAGGACCCTAAAAAACTTAAATCCTACGAGTCCCAAAATCTTGCGACCCCCGCAGCCTGCATGAAACCCTTACAGTGATCGTGTGGAGGGCTTCGAACGTTGGGCGTTTAGGCTTTGTTGAGGTTTTAGGCTTTGTGCTTCGCAGTTTTGGGCGTAGGGGTGCTGCGGCGATGCACCTGGTAGGAACCCTCAAAGGAGCCCAACGCCCTCCTTGAGGCGTGGGAAGCTGGACTGAAAGTTCGGGAACACTGTCTCCGTGGATGAGACAAGCTTCGACCTTTCTTATGGCTCCTTGCCAGTTGCTAGGAAGCCGGACTCGTACGTCAAGTGCACGTCTTATACTCCTAGCTTCGATACGTTGAATAGGAATATTTTGTCTGTGGCTTGCAGAGGGTTCAAAGCTCAAAGCCAAGATGTACATTAAACCCCCCCACAGACCAGATCTCACGGGTCAAGGTCGTGGATAGAGCCCTGCACAGCCCGTGAGCCCAAATCCAGCCAAGGCTTTGCGGCTCATTGCAGTCACGCAAGCATAGCCCTCAGGATGAAAACCTAAGCCTGGACCCTTCAGCAGGAAATGGAAACCCCAAACCTTAGAGACCTCAAGCCCTGAACCTGTCAGGAGCTCGGCACCCGAGCCGTTATCTGCATGTTCTCCTCTCGCGAGATTCTCCTGCATAATCGCGCTAAGGGTGGAGCATCTAAATTTTAGAGCATCGGCCGCTTCAGGGCTTACCATCATCTGTTGCTTGCAGTTGCGTAGATGAGCACGTTCTCGCCTGCTTGCTTGGACTTGTTTTGACCATCTTCTCAGCACTCATCATCCTCTTCACCATCCCCGTCTTCCCTCATCTTCCACAACGTTCACGTCATCATCTTTATTAGTGGGGGCCACCCGCATATCCTCTTGCTCGGTGAAACATAAGCAACATTCGCCGGCCCTGAATCTCTGAAAGCCTGCAAACTCTGCAAAGGGGAGTTTGAGGGGAACTATCATGCACTGTGACATATTATAAAATGCTGTTCTACTATGACTATAACATTCTATAGCAACAGACAGTGATATACCATAATAGTCGATTATGAACACCTGATGATATAAATCCTAGGGTTCATACTTCCGATGCAACAGCTCAAAGAAGGGACCCCTCAGCTTAAGATACCTCAAGTATCCCAAACTTTTCCGAAATAGAACGACAGCCTCCGACCACGGCCCTTGACCAAATTTCGGGGTTTAGGGCTCAAGGCTTGGGGCCTACATTGGCGGCGTTTGGCTCAAGGTGAAGGGGTAGGGTTGTAGCTTGAAGCTTTTGAGTGGTAGACCCTGCACCGGCCCTCGCAGCCCAAATCTTCAGGTTTTGAATCCCACAGCTTTAAGCGACAAATTCCCAGCTCCAGACCGGCTCGCCATACACTCAAAACCCCAGCAGCCCAAAAAACCTTTGAGCCCTGAACTCCGAAGCCCAAGAAACTGCAACAAACACAAAAAGGCGAAGCCTGGCCGGCGACCCATCCTGCTGTTCGCCTGTCACAGGGTTCTAGGGCCGGGAGCTCTAGGTCTGTTGGTGTTTGGGGTTTCGGCTTCAGGGTTTCGAGTTTAGGGTTGAGGGCTTAGGTTCAGGGTTGTTTGGGTTTGGGGTTTAGGGTGTTGAGTGGTTGGGGTATTGGGGTATTGGGGGTGTTGGGGTGTCGGGGTTTTGTGTCGAGGTTTACGGTTTCGGAACCTGATTGAAACGTTTTGCTACGGCTTGAAAAATCTCTCGGAGCCTAAACCCTAAACTGTAAACACACGAAGGCCTAAGCCTAAGTCCCCCAATCTCGACTTTCCGAATTTAACCCTGTCCAACAGACTGCCTTGTTACGAGAAGATATCAGGAAACCATACCAAAAAAAAACCCGAAGCATGTAGTTTTGCTGGGCTACAGGTACACTTTACGTTTTCAGCCAGTCTACTTGCTGTCAGCTTCGTTGAAATTCCCCGCGCCTGTGGGCGTGGGCGACCGCACGCTCAGCTTCCAATGTAGCGGGTCCTGCTTCAAGCTCATAATGGGGTTTACGAAGGCCAGCTGTAGCAATCTTAAAGGGGCCACACAGGAATGGCATGTTACTTATCATTGACTGCTTTCGCATGGATTCAGGGGTTGGGGTTTTCGTGCCCGGTGGAGTTCAGGGTTTAGGGTGACTTTGGGTCTTAGAGTTCCGGAGTTAAAGTCAGCATACAGCTCCTTATTTGTCTTGCAGCTCTGGGCTTAGAGAATTTGATGGCTTCTGGGTTTTAGGAACAAATACACTCCCAAATCCACACAGGCAGGTCCCCCGCAAAATCACTATTAGCCACGCTGCTCGCAGGCTTTATTCTAAAGCCTAAAGAGTACTGGTCGTTCATCGCTGAGGTTCCACGAGAAGCCCTTCATGGAGGAATAGTGCATGTTCACTTGGGCTACATCGCCAGCCCAGAATTTGGGGCCTCAAATAAGGTCCTCCTCAATCTCAGAGCTTCGAGCTTTTCTTGGGTTGTGGGTGTTTTGGAGTTTCAGTAGTTCGGTGGCTTTGGCGGCCTAAGGGAGGTTAGGATTCTGGGATTTTGCGCTTGTCTACTGTTTTTGGGGGGGCATAAAAGGTGCAGAGGCTGGACCTGAAGCTGGAGGCGCAATCGCAGGTGAACAAACCTGTTAAAGGTTCAGGGCCAGGGCTTCTTGCGTGTAGAGGGTTTAGAGTTTAGGGCTCAGAGCTTCGGTTTAAGGCTTCGGGGCTCCAGGGTCTTGAGTGAAAACGGCCGCGCGGCTTTTTCTGCGGTGCTGCGAGGCAGAGCTGCTAGGACATCACTCCTCCTCTGGCACCTGGCTCGCAACACATTGTACCCACCACCAACACCCCATAAAACCTTATGAAAGAACTCTGCGTTGGGGGTGCTGGATCCCGGCATGGTTTGGCTCAGGAGGTAGGGTTTGCGGCATGAAAGGCTTTGAAAAAGGAACCCAAAGTCCTGCAGCCCGAAACTGAAGTTGTCTGCAATCCTCAACTCGAAGACCGGAAGCGTTCGCAAACAACGCTCCTCAGGAAAATCTCCGTTTAAGGGGGGGGTTGCAATGACTTCGGATGTCGCATCTAAGGACCTGCGATTTGCCTCCCGAACGTGGACCCACTAAAGAATCAGGCACACAGAAGAGCTCTCCGTGCCGTGGGAGTGAGGATTCACCCAAAAAATTGCAACTTGACATCCCAGCCTCTCTCCGCCTTGCACGAAGCTGCTCGACGAGATTTTGCCGAGCCTGGGACGACGACGACGGCACACTAAGCGAACAGCTCACAAGACCTGACAAGCTACGTAGATGTTCAAGTGCTTGTCGGGTTATGTCCTTCGATCAATACAGCACACCAAGACGGGCCTTAGGACAAAAGTGGTGACTGTCGGGCACATACATCATGTCTCCAGCGCCCCCTATACTTGCGACGCACGTCGGCTGTTGGCATTAGGTGTGGGACAAAGTCGTGGGACGGGTGGCACGCCGAACTCTCCGAAAACTAGGGGTGTCCTCTGTGCTTCGAACCGACTTATTCCAATCCCTACGCTGACAAGCCCGAAAAACTTGAAGGGACACTCCTTAATCCGTGAACTCCCTATGCCTAGACCCTATATTCGCGAAGCCCGCAATCCAAACGTCCGCCTTCAACTTCGGACTCGCTCTTCTAGTCCACCGGTCGTGGGTTTCAAGGGTTTGTGGTGTTCAAGAAGTCGCTCTTGAGGCGCAGAGGCTTGGCTTGAAGGTTGGTTCGCGGAGGGCTCAGGGTTTAGTTGCCTGCACAAGATTCGCTGCAACTGCAACTACAACCACCGCATCACCAACAACGCCAACAAGGGCTTCAGAAGTTTCCGGGGTCAAGCCTCCAGGCGGGTCCAGGGATTCTTGGAACAACGTTTGAAAGCTTTTAGGCTAGATGTTTGGGGTTTGCGGCTTGCGGGCTCAGAGTTTAGGCCATGAGCTCCAAAGTGGTAAATCCCTGTAACTGTCGGTCTGGGCTCCGAGCAATGGAGAACGTGATCTCCCGCGTCTGAACATAACCACAAGGCAGGGAATTGGATTTCAGCTGGCTGCTCGCGGGTTTAGCCTTTAGGGTCTGCAAGTCTAGGATTGGGAATCGAGATCAATACACGTACAACTGAAGGTGCTGACCTCAAAAAACGCACCAGATGCCAAAACCCAAGGACCCGTAGCCCTGAGGCCCTAAATCCAATTAAATCCCTAAATCCGACCCTCCCATGAACCCTCGACGGCTTAGCTACCAAACAGGATCAAACAGACACGTGTGACCCCCACAAGCCCGGTGCCTGGGCAGTGATGTAGGGAAGCCATTGCACCGACTTCCTGGAAAAGATGGAAACCCCGAATCCCTCAAACCAAATACATACATACACATATATATATATATATGTATATAGATACAGATACAGATAAATCGAATAGTCGGATCCGTTCGTGTAAATAAGGACCTCCAGCAGGGAGGGACCCCTAACTTTAAGATCTGCCTTGTCGCCGCAACCGGAAAGTCTCTGTCAGCTAGGCTTCCTTCCCGCCCCTAGAACAACGGTATCAGGCGGCTTTCAGCTTAAATCGTTTTACCCCACATTCATCAGAGTATGAGGGGACACTAGAGTGACCTAGAACAACTGTCTACAGAATGCCTCCCAAAACCCACACACCAGGTTTGGGATTGGTGTTTAGGAGGGTTTGGGGTACTTAGGGTGATAAGGCTGTTAAGGCTTCAAAGAGAAGCCCAACGATTAGTCGCAACATGCGGTCGGCCACAAGTCAGAAAGGCAAAAGTGATAGACAATGAAGAACCTCCACACAGCCGGTTTCGCGGGCAAGTACATCCCACCAAGCTTCAAACGGCCGGGACGCAAACCCTGCATCCGAAATCTTAAGCACAAAACCGCAACAAAATTTCAGCCTCAAGTGCGAAATCTCAAGACCCCTAAACCTTAAACCTAAATCTCTGCGCCTCATCCTTTCCGTCAGCTGTGCCAGCACAGCGCCGCTGCGGGCATCGCCGGCGAAGGCGCGGCTGAACTGAGCACAGTCGTGCGCGGCTTGGGGGCTTTATGAGATAGCTGCATACCACGTAGAGCAGCAGAAGCAGCCGCCGTGGTGCTAGTAGTAGTCGTCGTCGTTGCTGTTTTGAAGCCCCATAGCCACCAAACCCCAACACCAAGATCGCTGCCAGCAAGTTGACGGCCGCGCCACCGCCCAGGGCCTGAGCTTCTGGCTTCAGGGTTTAGGGTTCAAGGTTTAAGCTTTGGGATTCGGGGCTTGGAGTACAGTTAAGGATCGAGCTCTGGAGTTCATGATTACGGGCCCCCGTTTGGGGCCCTGCGAAGACCACATAAACGGCATAAACCCCTAACCCTACGACGAAACATCTCTTTATTCCTGACGATTTAGAGCATGCGTCCGAAGCTGTGTCGAGCAACTCCACACTGTAGCCCCATTTCGTTAAACCATTGAAAAAGCCGGTGCTGAGATCATCCCGATCGCTGTTGAAACCCTAAGGTGCCTACCCATGGCTCCACCTGATTCAGGGCGACCGTCACACTTACGATTCGTCTGGTGGTGTTGTTCTTACCACTGCTGTATCTGCTTTATTAAGATGGGTCTCTGACTCATCTGTTTGTCGCAAGAGTACCATCAACAGCATCATGGCTGGGCTGTTCTGCCAATACCACCATTGGCATCGGCATCTTCAGGATTATCTCGATGCTGGATGACACTGTTATTACGCTGATGCTGTATTAGGAGTCTTATTGTCATAAAGACCAGCAATTTCGACACGAAAACTATGGTCTTCGTTGACACCATCTGTATTGTGAGCATGGTCGTCATCCTCTTTATCGTCATCATCATCATCATCATCACCATCGCTGCCCTCGGTATAGCTATAGCTTTGGTCTGATTACTACTCTTGATATTGCTAGTACCGTTACCACCGCCACGCATATCACTTGCATATTGTCATGATAGGTGGGAATTCTGATGCTTCATTGGATTGTTTTGGGAATTCAGCACCGAGTTGTCCTACACGCAGGCCCTGCAAATCAATATCGACCCCTAAATGAATGGATTCCTCCAAAACCACACAAAGTCATGTAACCCAGTGCGAAACCCTGTGAAACCTCTTCAGCTATGTTTTCATCCCAAGCCCTGAACCCCAAAGGCGGCCTCCGGGTGGATGGGCCGAAGAGACTCGCCCGGGTGTAGCAAGTCCGTGGCACCTGCGCATGAGCAGTGTAGGATTAAGAACTTTTGGGCGCGGTTCTTGTTTAATTAAGGTTTTCGGTGGGAGTTAGGGATGGCAGATTTGGGCTCAAGGTGCACTGAATCGTAATGATAGATGACCATCGGCCTGCCGAGACATTCCGGTGACAATGGAATCTAATGGTGTTGCAGATGCCATTATCGTCATTGTTGTTGCTAGGATAAAACTATCTCTCTCACCATGCCTGCTACAATTGCTACTACTGCTGCTGCAGCTGCGACTGCTGCTGCTACTGCTGCTACTACTTCTACGACGACGACTACTACCACTATGATTATTATTACTACTACTACTACTACTACTACTACTACTACTACTATAACTACTACCACCACCACCACCACCACCACCAGTACAATACTACTATTACGACTAGTAACTAAAACTACTACTACTACTACTACTACTACTACTACTACTACTACTACTACTACTACTACTACTACTACTACTACTACTACTACAACTACTACTACCACTACTACCTGCTACTACCACTACCACTACCACTACCACTACCACTACCACTACCACTACCACTACCACTACTACCACTACCACTACCACTACCACTACTACCACTACCACTACCACTACCACTACCACTACCACTACTACTACCACTACTACTACTACTACTACTACTACTACTACTACTACTACTACTACTACTACTACTACTACTACTACTACTACTAACTACTCCTACTCCTACTCCTACTCCTACCCCTACTCCTACTCCTGCTCCTACTCCTACTCCTACTCCTACTCCTGCTCCTGCTCCTGCTCCTGCTCCTACTCCTACTCCTACTCCTACTCCTGCTCCTGCTCCTGCTCCTGCTCCTGCTACTACTACCACCACTACTTCCACTACTACTTCTACTACCACTACTACCACTACTACTTCTAGTACCACTACGACGACGACTCCTACACTACGATTAGTAGCGGTTCTACTCCGATGCTACTCATACTACTGATGCTACTGCTACTCTTACTGCCACTGCTGCTACTACTACATACTACTCCTACTACTACCACAACAGCTACTCCCTTCGCTGATGTGATGATTACGTAGCAGTTTGATGATTACTCGTAGTCGTAAAATGATTGTCATGACTGCCATCACCACCGTCATCGTTATCAGTATTCAACATCCACACCCCTGGCGCACCCACTGGGTCGCTCGGAAAGGTCCAGCGCGGAGCCTGGCAGAGAAGAGGCGGCTTAAAGTTGTTGGAGCTTGGCATAGAGCACACAGCACAATGGTCCGGCTTTGTGTCCAGGGCTTGGGGCTCGCATTGCCAAGCTTCAAATCAACACCCACCACAAAGGGCTCCGAGAAGATGGAAGATAAACACCTCAACCAACACCCTATAAAACACTGTAAAGCCCTATAAAAATCTACAAAACGATCTGAACCCGTCTAGGCACCCCCAACTCCAACATTCCGGACCCACTGCTCTACACCTGAATCCCAAAACCCTGATGCCTAGACCCTGCTCTCTCAAATCACCCCAATCCTAAAACCAAATGCTCCTTCATCGTCTGCACAGCTCTGGACACGACTGCACTCATTACCATGCCCGTCTCGTAAGACCTCGCAACGACAGCTTTTGTGGAAAATTGCTGCACACGGCGCGCGGCGCAGCTGTCTTTAATTAAGGCTTTACGATTTGAACTAGTTATTTGGGTGGAGGATGAGGGTCTAGGGCTTCAGGGCTCTGGAGTGTTTCGGATCTAGGGTTCAGGCTTTTGGGGTCTGCAGGCTCTTGCAGGGCTTCCGGACTTCACAAGCGTTTATATTGAAGTTCCCGCAAACCCCAAACCCTTAAACCCCATATACACTCAGGGTTTAGGATCTCGGTTTAATATAGAAAGGCTTCTCAGGCAGGGGGACGCCCGTACCAACTATTCTGACAACTTTACACACCATGGTCTTCCAAATGTCAACTCCTAGCTAGGGGTGAAGGAGTGTGGGCTTTGCTTGCAGGCTGCCGGACTATGGTTCAGAGGGCAAGAAGCTGAAAAACGGCTATGGTTTAGTCGTCCCTTACAGCCCTGCTCGTCCAAGTGCTGGTATCACAAAGGGGTGTTGCATTTCTACACAGCCATCCTGTGGTGGTTTCTACATGGAACACCACCTGCGTTTCCTCCCAATGCGTAAAGCTTTGTATTGGCGTTATAATTTGTGCTTGTACTGCTGCCCTGATACTGCGTACCAGTGACTTGGCGCTGTCACGCAGTGTCCCCACAGCTTCCCGGATTCCTTCTGTGAGAGTCTCTGTGCTCCGGGCTTAGGCTTTGGGGCCCTTCAGCTTTTGGGCTGACGAATGCAGTCGGGTTTGGCCGTGTATTCCTATGATTAGGTTGGCGATACATCACTCCCCCCTTCAAGTTAAGCCGTAGACTGAATCCGAGGGCCCGACGTGTTGTCCCCGAGCAGGAGTAGCCTGGTCCAAAGTCTAGATGTGTAAAGGTTTGGGATGGGACTGATAGAGTAGACCTTCCTGGACTCTGGGATTTAGAGCCACTTTGTGGAGATGCCCGAGGAGCCGGAAGGCCTGCCCGCCGTCGCCTAGTTTCATTTGTTCCTTACCGTCGTTTTGGTTTTAGGAATTAGGGCTCTTGTTCCAACTCAGTGCCGCAGTGCGTCGCGCCGTGGCACTCTGGCACATCCGAAACCTTGAACCCTGAACCCGAACCCCTGAATCCCCGAAACCCGCCGAAAAGCCAACAACTCTCGACCCTTATAAGACCTCTCACAGATCATTGAACCTTTAATACTACACCCCCCCACCCCCCCCACCCCCCGTAACGAAGCACAGGACCCGGCCCTTGTTCCAGGAGCAGCTTCTGCACAGCCGGAGAAAGCTGAGCATGGCCCTCCCAGATAGTGTGTTGCTTGCTGGGGTCTACCATTGCACCATTTAGGTTTTAGGAGTGCGACGTGTTCGGAGAGTTTCATGTTCAGGTTTAGGCTGGTTGTCTGACGTTTGGGCTCTGTGGCGCAGCGTCTCGGAGTCTGCGGTTGGGGTCAAGGGTCGGAAGTCTGGGGCATCGGGGCTGCAGCTACCATCCGATTGTCGAAATGTGGTTCCGATTTCAGATATTCATATGCTTTTGGGCTGAGCACTTGACGTTAAGTTTTGAAAGTTTAGAGCTTCCCGGCCCTAAGCCCTAAACCCTCGAAGCCTCGTGCAGGCTTCCTATTTCTAAGCCGTACACGCCACGCCATAAACCCTAACCTCCTACAAACATGATAAACAGGCATTTTACAATGCACGCTACCTCGGAGTGTTGCGGGTTTCGGGACGGCGCGGCCTTCGCATGGGAGCTGGGTCTGATCCGGACTTCGACATTGAGCTGGTCCAAGGACGAAGTCGGCCTGAGACTCAGAAGAACAACGGTGACTTATAAAATAGCATAGTACAAAGAGAGACTGCCCACCCACAATGACAGGATTTACGGGTTGGTCATTTAGGGTAGGATACTGGTCATAAAAGGATTACATTCAGCGGCAAACTAACGAAGGACTGCCGTTCGGTTCCGTGACAACTAACCTGGCATCCATTTAGCCGTTAAGCCTAAGCATGCAGACAGAAGCCAAAGAGCCATCAAACCCGTAAGTCCCAAAACGAACAGCCCTCGCACCCTGCAAGCCCCGAAAGCCCTGAAAGCCTTGAACCCTTAAACACCCCTCGTGAAAACCGAATCGCCTGTACAGGATTAAGGGAGGAAAGAAACTAAGGAGGGGCGGTAAAATAGAGGTTCGAAGAACAAGGGATAGTTTGCCCTCATGGTTGCCTCTACATCGGCATCGCTAAAACAACTAGCTTTAACCACTCAGGAGCCTGCATTCGGCTCGCAGGGAATGGGGGTTCGGGGGTTGAGTCGAAAGAACTGTAACCCTAAACCCTCAGCACTCAACCCAAAGATCCCCGGCTTAGGGTTTCGGAAAACTCCGGTTCAGGGTTGAGGGTCTAGAGTAAACCTAAACCATAAGGGCAGGACAAGTGCACGACTGTTTCGAAATGGCCCCACAGAACTGCGACCAGGAAGGCCTGACACGTGCGTGATTGTTCTTGATTTTTAGGCACTGGGTGCTTTAGATTTGAGGGATCGGGCTCCGCTCTGTTATGGCGGCCGTACTAGTTAGGGCGATGCTTCAGGTTATACTACAACATGAGGATACTTGGACTATCAGGAGACATCCCCAAGAATGCGACAACGGCCGTCTCGTTCTTCACACAGACATTTGGGGAAACAGCGAAAGGACACTTATATAAGATCGCATGTATCAGGACACCGGAAGAGGAGGAGCATTTAATGATAAGAACCGGCTATATAACCAGTCAGCTCCGACATCCAATGAAACCACTGGTCAGCAGCGTGCAAAACAAAAGAAAGGCATTAATAGAAAAATTGTCAGCTCCAAGCCTTAACCCTGCCCCCTGATTTATGAGAATCAAGGATAAACATGCCACTTGCTGCAACATGGCAGAAGCTGTAAAATCCTAAACTGTGAACCTAGTAAGACACCCATAAACTTCGAACATCGCCATTTCAGATTTCCAGCACAAACTTCATGCCTCTGGCTCCCGGTGCCTAGACTCCAAAGACGACACAGGCTTGAAACTCTCGGGCTGAGGGGGATTCGGGTTAGGAAGGATTTGGGAGTTTCCGAAAATTAGGGGTACCTTATTTGGGGTCCTTATAATAAGGATCCTACTATTTGGGGTACTAGATTTTGGGTCCCCTATTTTCGGAATCTCCCAAATTTGGGTCTTGGGCAACAAGCCATTGGATTGCAAAGGGCCTTCAAAGGCTTGTTGGCGCTCTATGGTGGTTGTGTTTTAGAGATAGAACTTGGAGGCTGTGTGGTTTCTTGGGAAAGTGGGTGAGCGAGTAAGGATTTCGGATGTTCGGGGTTTCAGGATATTCTGGTTTTGTAGGCTTTAGAACAGATGCGATCCCAAGACATTCCCTCAGCACACAGCTGAAGCCTGGTAGCAGAAGAGAGCGCCGTGTGCCAACCCGGTGAAGTTCATGGGGTGGTAGAAGAAGCAGTAGTACACGTCCGCCTTGAGCTGATTATTCGCGGATGCCGTGTCGAATTGTCTCGGAGCTGTGACTTGGATTTGCAGCTCTGATATGAAGCAGAATATTGGGCATAATGTGATAAGTTGTCGACGGCATGAAGCATGGTCTGCATTGATTTTGCCCAAACGCGAAGCCACCACAGCCGGACTCCCAAAAGAGAGCTCTGACGACACAGAGCAAAGACGACCGTGAAGACGGTTGGTTCATGTTGCGGAGACCATCAGCTCCCAACCGTGACCCCTTTAGTTAGGAGGTAGAGTGAAAGCCACGAACTCGTAACCCTGCAGCGCTCCATCATCTCCACGGCTAGAACTCCTCAGCCTACTACAGGACCGCATGCAAAAGTAAATTACAGTGATGACAGCAGCTTGTGAATGCGCAGGCCAGCTTGAGCTGTAGCCATTTATTCGAGGACACAGGGCTTTCGTTTTCTCGACTTCGTATGTACGGTGTGAGGAGGTTGGGATTGATGTTTCGAGTCTCGAGTCTAGGAGTCTAGTTCCCTGGCTGTGTGGGAGCTAGGTAAGCTTTTGACACGCTGGTCTTTCGGAATCACTCCTTCAAGGGTCGCCGTACAAAACAGTGCTTAAAAGCCGGACTAGTAGGTTTTCACCGCATCGGAGCACTGCATTCTTCGTAACGGGGCGCGCGTGCCTCACCTAAAGGCTGAAACCGCCGCTTCGCACCCTTCAACCTCACATAGTCCCCTGAAACAAAACCCTTGAGACGAAAATCAGAAATAATAGCACTTCAACATAATTTTTCAACCGAAACGATAAAGACTCCCAATCCTCATTTGGGTGCCCGGGCAACGTATGCAGGCAGAGCGGCCCTTGGGAAAAGATACCGCGAATCCTGCAGCGCGGTGGTTCTTGTCGGTTGCAATAAATCTAGCAGCAGGAATAGTGGCAGTAGTACTGTACTAGTAGTAGTAGCAGTAGCAGTAGCAGTAGCAGTAGCAGTAGCAGTAGCAGTAGCAGTAGCAGTAGCAGTAGTAGTAGTAGTAGTAGTAGTAGTAGTAGTAGCAGTAGTAGCAGTTGTAGGAGTAGTAGCAGTAGTAGCAGTAGTAGCAGTAGTAGCAGCAGCAGCAGCAGTAGTAGTAGCAGTAGTAGCAGTAGTAGCAGTAGTAGCAGTAGTAGCAGTAGTAGCAGTAGTAGCAGTTGCACACAGTAGTAGCAGTAGTAGTAGCAGTAGTAGTAGCAGTAGTAGTAGCAGAAGCAGCAGCACGAGTAGTAGTAGTAGTAGTAGTAGTAGTAGTAGTAGTAGTAGTAGTAGTAGTAGTGGCAGTAGTAGTAATAGTAGTAGCAGCATGCGATGCTGCACTTAGTGTTACTGAGTCTTACGACCCATTACTAGAATGTACTACACCATGCGGGTTATGTACACTTCTGCTATATCATACTACATTGCTCGCTCACATTGTACCAAGCAGTAAACGTTTACGACTAGACTGCACGAATGTCGTACTTACACTTCGCTGCTCCACCTCATGTCACACCGCGGTTCATCAAACTGGCATGCTTTTTGATTCCTCTACATTGTCGTACATCTGCTACAAGACGACAGTCTTTAGAAGTGTACTAAGCAGTGATATGTTATATTGCGCTTCTATGACCTGATCTTGCATGTTTCTCATGCTGCTAACAGCTCTAGTATGCAGTATCATATCCCGGTGTGCGGCGTTCTAAAGTACAACGTCATAAGAACACAATGCCAAGATACCAAGCACATGCATTCATATACAGTTGCCTGCATATACCTATATACCTCGTTGCCCTATCCTCAGCTGCATGAATGCATGTTCTGCACGGCACTTCCAAACAGCCTGGGGCATGAGCAGATTTAGGGCATGGCTGGCATGACATAACACATGTGAGTCGGGTCTCGAGCAGGAGAGCACACTACTCCATGCGATTTCAGGAGGCTGCGCAAGGCATGAAACATGTTCGGGCTGTGTTGTGATGAATGCAGCCGCTTCCAAATAGTGTTGCTGCCACGCCCTACCATGATGCATCGATTCCTGATTTCAGACAGCTAGCGTAAAGCTGCGTCAGGCAGCAGCTACCCTGCAGTTCGACGAAGCTGCTTGCAGTGCACAATTTGCGGTTCAACATTGAGTGGGGAACACAAGAAGCACAGAACCCGGCTCCAAACCAGCTGAGAAGCCGGAATCTTTGTCAAATCCCCGACCAGAATGCAGCCACATGACCTATCACCAGACCAAGCCAGCGCTACGTCGTCGATACCGGAACAGCCAGCAGTCCACCAGCATACAACCCAAGGCACAAGATCAAGGTTCCGATGGACTCCTCCCTGCTGCATTTGGGGCTGGCTGCACTTCAGTTCCGCACATGTGCAGTAGGACTCAGGACACCAGACTCTCGAACCTTGATCCTCACCTGGGCCACGTCCTAAGAACTCAAGCCGAACCCTGTCCTGAAACATCTCAAAAAGGATGTAAAATTAAGGTGACGGGATTAAGCTTCTAACCTTTAACCTCCCACCTGTGAGTTGTGAGTTCAGTCTCACGAAACGCGCGAACAGGGTAGGTGTAGAGTTTCGGGTTTAAGGGTTTGAGATCTCGGGTTTTAGGGTTGACACTGGGCACACAAGTTTGATGCCACGACCCGAAAGCCAAGTCAAACCCTCCAGGCCAAAATCCCAAGACCCGAGTGTTGAAGCCCATAACCGGAGCCCACGAGCCGTCGCAAATTAAATCTTGAACTCGAAACCCGGGAACACCCAAACCCGCAATCCAAGATCCGACAGCGCCCTACATATGAGAACCTTCGACCACTCCTAAACCCCAACTCAAACCTAAATCCCAAGCTTAGAACCCTAAACTCCGTACCCTAAACCCGAAACCTTGAACCCTGAACCCCACACCCGAAATCCAATGCTCCCACAGAACGCGGCCTGCGTCTGAAGCATCAGGGAAGCAACCTGACAAGCTGCAATCGATTGGCCTATGGCCTATATCTTTGTTCAATACGACTCCTCCCCTATTCAAACTATTAAGGCCCCTATATTAGGCGTTCCGCCCTCGGTTTAAAGTCTTGGCGTCGTGTAGGCCTTTGGGTATTTAACATCTTCCGGTCTAGGCCAAATGCACTGCACTGGACCTACCCCAAAACCTTACGGGCCCAAGCATCGAAACAAAGAGTGAGAGAGAGAGGAAAAAAGACTTCTAAATCATTCAGGACCCATGCCAGATACGGACCAGAAGCCCAAACCCTATACATCCTAAGACGTAGAGCACCCTGAGCTCGATTAGGATTCACGAGTGTAAGCTCGAAATTTGCCCCTATGTCAAAATGACGACTTGTTCCGGACTAGTGCTGTATAAGGATTAAGGGTGGCCTTTTCCTTGCGTCCAGGGTCGAGGTGTTTAGGCTTACGTTCTGGCCCAGACTTTCAGGTGTGAGGCTTGAGGGATGCAGTAGTTTTCACCGGATTTTCAAGCTGTCACAGCCTTGGGCTTATGGCTCTACTGAAATGTAGACAACATCCGGGTGACTCAGGGCTTCTATCATGTGTGGGGATTCCGCGTCACGACAGGGTCCTACTATGTTGCGTCTACTTGTAGTGTTCCCTCCTGTTGGAATTCCCATTCGGGGGTTTCGGGTTTGGGATTTGAAGCTTCAACTTCATGCGAGCTCTCAGGGCTTCTACAGCCTTCGAACAATAGAGCCGAGCCCTAGATCCTAAGCAACGTCTGGGGCCTGGGGCTTACGGAAAACGACGCAAGTCCAGGAGCCACGGCTCTCCACGGTGAAGCAATTAAAAACACTCAAGTGATAGAATCCTCAGAAACCGAAAAAGCCAGTCCAATGGTCAGGTCTCGCACGCATGCTTGCAAGCCCAGAAAGGGGTAGGCTTCAGGGTTCAGGGTCTGAGGCAGAGTCCTGGCTTTGGGGCTCGAGATCTATCCAGAGTCTGAGGGTTTACAACGACGGCATAATCCGACCTCGATAGGGTTTTGGTATGTATCTGTATCAGAACTACTTTGTGGAAATCACACAAAGAATACGAGGGGTATGGTAACCAGCTATTCGCTGAGTTCAGGGAAACCCGAAGATGCTTCTAAGAAACCGATTCACAACCGAAATGCCGGAGCGCGGAGTAATATTATGGGAAGAAATTGGGGTGTCTGTATTGCATGACGCTTCTCTGCTATTCAATCTAGGGCTTCTGCTTCGCCGGCAGAGAGGCAAACGAGGATCGCCGCCTAGTTAGCTGCGAACAGTGAGCAAAAAGCGGGGCTCTTCATGTTAATCGTGGTAAAATGGACTGGAGAGTTTAGATACATGTTCAAGGTATGCATGGCGGTGTGCTCCTTATTGGAAGCTATATCAAACTGAAGGAAGTGGTTAGCCTTGGAGCTTGTAGTCCCGATGGTTGGTTCTCAGGATCGTATGGGTGGCGGCCCTTGGCAAGCCAAGCTAAATCCCCAACCCCAACCCGAAGCCTTACAAAACCCAAGCCGCAGCACCGTGAATTCCCAGGCTGTGATTGAGGGGACTTGGGTTTCAGAGGTCGAGAGGCTCACAAAGCCCCGCCAGAACCTTACAAATCCCCTTGTAGAGACCTTACTGAATTCTTCGGAACCCTTGCAGATCCCTTGCAGAAAACCCTCATGAACCCGTCATAGAATCCTCACAGAGCCTTGCTTGAACCCTTATACAAACCCTTACAGAGCCCTTGAGAAAAGAAACTTACAGAACTTTTATCGAACCAGGCGAAGTCCGAAAAGGAAAAGCCGAACACTTCCGGGCGTCCCTGGCCACATCAGGTGCCCGGGTCCCCGCGAGGCGGCAGAAAGCGAACCCTAGGCCTGGCTAGTGGCTGTTTACAACTTAATGAGGGGTTTAGGGTTGAGGGTTCAGGGTTTAGGGTTCAGGGCTGCTTAAAAAACCTTGGTGTCCCTACGGCTTCTGACAAAAGACTGGTGTCTTAAATGACTTCTTCTGCTGTTGCGTTTGTAGCGACAGTCCTGTTTGGGGGCGGCGTCCTACAGTAAGGATCCTAAGATTTAGGGCTGTATATGAGGACTCGGCTTGCGTGAGCTCAAGGGCTATGGGCTTATAGGTTGTTCGTCTACATGTGTGATCGTTTAAGCTGGGGGCTTCAGGGTTTCGTCTCGCTCCTTTTTCTGGGGGTATCGTATCACCTTCCTTGCACTTCGGACAAGCTTGGGCCCGATTACAGGCTTGGCGTTAAGGATTCAATTTCTAGCTTAAACTTGATGTAGGGTTCGGGGTTGTGGGTTTGTTGATTCGGGCCTTAGTCGGGATAACCTTCCGACTGCCGCATCCTCCGGACAGCTATCCTGAATTGCAGGCGCTCGTCCAAGATGTGTAGAGACAAGGATTCGGGGGTATTGCAGGAGCCTTAACGAACTAAGATAAGAATTGAGGAGGGGCCATAACGGAACTCTATGATGTAACTGTGATGTCTAGAGTCTAAGACTTAGAGTTTGACACGCCCACGACCGAACGAAGGCAGAGTCGAAGTACTGGCCACCCAAGAACCGCAGAGTTGAAGAAAAGATGCTAGACTGCTAGAAGCTATCCAGGCCACAGAAGAAATAAAAATACAGACTTAACCCCAACCTCACAAACCCAGATTGCGGGTTGATACTGTATTAGGTTCATTTTTGAGAGACCCTAATCTCCCCGAAGAGGATGGCCTGCAGGTGCCAAGACCAACACCGTCGCCTGCTCACGAAGCTGAGGGTTCAGAAACGCAAAGACCTTCTCGACCTTTTTAGGTTTAGACCCCTTATCCCCCGCCAAGAAGACCTGAACTGCCAAGCCTTACCAACTCGGGGCACACAAGAGGAGGTCGGATGTATGGTCTGGTGCAGTCCAATGCTCAAGTTGCGGCTCGTGTGCACCGGTTCAGGGCTGTCGCGCTTGTTGTGGCTTGGGGTTGGGTTCTAGACTCCGCGGTCTCAGGGGTTTGCCGCAACAGCTTTAGGCCTTAGCAGCCTTAAACTTCAAGCTTTATCATCGGTGGGTTTATGCTCTTTTGACTGCTGGCTGCCTCCCAAACACCCCCAAGGCTTGGACCATCTCTGCACCAACAAGCCTGACAAACCGCAGTCCCAACCACCCCCAAAATCCAGGTCCTAAACCCCGTCAGGAATCCAAGCCCATCCCCCCAAACTTTGCCCTAGATCCCTGAAATCCCGAAATCCAAAAGAACACGAAATCCGTGAACCCTGGGGCCTAAAAAAAGACAAGGCTCAAGCGCCTCGAGGGAATCCAATAGCCCACAGCCAGGCCCTGTGCTCAGGTGGAGGCAAATGCTGTAGAGGCCCAGCCTTGGGATAAATAGGGTTCCCGGTTTAAAGCTTAGGTTCAGGGCTTAGGATCTCGGGCTTAGGAGCAGCAGGGTTTCTAGGAGTGTGGGAGTGCAGGGCTGAGCGCGTAGTGATTCAGGGATTCTTTGGTTTTTACGGAAAATGAGGCTGTAGGGGTGTACAGGTCCAGGGTTGAGTGCGTCTCGGGGTTCAGGTGTTTTAAGTGGGGTTCCCATTATTTGGGCTACTACAGCATCTACTCAATGGATGAGGGTGGAAGCCTTCGCCCCTTGAGGACTGGGGGCAGTCAGGGTCAGGGTGCAGGGCATGGGTTTTGAAAACGCTTCGGGATGCTTTGAGGGCTTCGGGCACTTCCTGTTTGGTGAGGAAATAGGCAGGGCCCTGTACTCCAGTCCTCTGATAGGAATCTCTTGAAGATGGTCATTGGGGGATCCTTTAAAGACACAACTGTAAGCCTTGACCCCAACCCAGATCCTGTACTCTTACAATGTATTCCGTGAAGACTCCTTACAGATCCCGAATGTTCTTTATTGAAGGACCTCTGGACAGGACAACCTCGATCCCTCCTGGGGCTAGCGCAGCGATCCCCGCACAGCAAAGCAGACGACGACCTTCGGGAGAGTCGGCGTCAGTCCAAGTTCTGGAGAAGGAGACAAAAGGCTCGTTGATTTGAGGGAGGAGGATGGAACTCAGGGCTGCTGGTTGAGACCGAACGACGAAGTTCTGATGGCGAAACTCCGCCTCCACAGCCCAAAAGCCTCGAAAACGCAGCAGCTGAAGTTCCGCAGCCCTGGTCCCGGAAGTCGACACGAAGATTTTGCAAACCTACACACCCCTCACTTGCAAGCCCAAAACGAGGCTCCCGGCCGCCGCAAGCAGTCCAAAGATGCAGGTGGCGAAAACCCAGACCTCTGAAACCCCGGAGCGGCCCAGGCTTTGGGGCGTTTGGGGTTGAGGGCAGTTGAGAGTTTAGCGTGCATGCATAATTGACCAAAGTCGCAGCGATAGCACGGCTGACTTCAGAGGTGGGGATGAAGGGCAAGGACTTCTGGCATGAACACATATGAACACCGTCAAACAACACTAAGGGCTTAGGGCCGCAGAAGTTCACACTTGACGACATCGGCTGTGGATGTGGCCAAGACGAAGACCTCAATGAAACTGCAACACCCGACCCAAAGCCTTGACGAGTCAAAACCTCTACCCAAAACCGCCAAGCCCGCAAACTCTCAGAATGCTGAACCTGAGACCCCCGAACGGCCCGAAACCTTGATGTAGGGCTTCGGGGGCATAGTGTTTCGGTTTAAAGAACCACCCCCTCAACTTTAGCCTAACCCCCTGAAACTGATTCCTTGCCCTGCAAGCCACTACGTAGGCCAAGGCCCTGACAGTCTTGAACAGCCACCACTCCGTTCGCCTCTGACATTACACTGCAGGCAGTGTTGCTGAGGGATCCGAGCATTGGAATTAGACTTGGAGGATGAGGAATTGGAGATCCGGGATTCAGGTTGCTGGGCCTAGCTAGTATTTATACACATCCATTAGACTCCACAGCTGCATCCCTAATCCCTCGGAGACAGTATATCCAACTACAACCAGCTACATTCAACCTTGAAATCTTAAAAACAGGCCCAAAGACTCCAATACCCCTTAATTAAGGAATATACCTTACATCGTATTAAGGATCCTACTATAATTAAGCTCTTAAACCCTAAACCCTAAACCCTAAACCCTAAACTCTAAACCCTAAACCCTAAACTCTAAACTCTAAACTCTAAACTCTAAACCCTAAGCCCTAAGCTCTTCCAGCCCTGGGCCTGTCCAGCAGCTCCGACAATCGCCGGAGGGGCTGCAGTGAGACGGGCGTCTGCCCTGCTCGGGAGTCGGTGGAAGTCTAAGTGGGTTTATATGGGTGTTTCCGAAATAGGGGACCCTAATATAGTACCCTAAATAGTAGGACTCTTATTACTTGGGGGGCGAGGTTTGGTGGCTTCAACTTCGGAATGGCGAGCTGAGATACCATGTTAAAAGCATTACCCCGACCCCTCCACCCTTAAACCCACCTGCTCAAGACCACGGTGTCCTCGATATACCGATACTCCTTAGCTTGTGCATCTTGCATGATTTACAATTTAAACGGCAAGGATTCTCGACCAAGGAAGACCGAGGTGTGCGCTATGTAAACCTGAAGCCATAACACTTGAACCCTAGATTCCAGATCCCAATGCCCAAACCTAACCCTGAAACAGCCCCTGGCCTTCGCAGGACAAGAACGCCAGGGAGGTGCTTCCCAACTTCGCAGTCGAGACGTTGCCGATGCCTGGCAGATAAACCCGGAGGGACTATCGGCTCAGTTGGAGGGCCCGCGAGATTTTGAGGCTTAGAGGAGGACCGCTGGTTGAAGGCAAAAGCGCATGCATCAAGGACGGTTGAGTTCACCTGATTGTTGTGCAGGCTTGCCCACTCCGTGCTGCACGCTGGGACTTGGCTTTGGGCAAGCCGCCTGCCCTACTGCGGTTTGTGTGGAAAACCTATGCCGAAGTCCCAAAGGGCCAAGAACCAAAACCAGAAGCCTGACAGGACAGGGCTGTTCTTCGACACCTTATCACCCGAATCCTTCACTCCCCAATCCTGAGAATCGTTTAGCCCCAAGCTGCCTAGCCCAACTTCGGCGAGGCCCCAAGCCAGAAGTGACCACTTCTCCACAGCCATGGGAGGCACCTTCCGAAATGCTCTCGACAACATAAAGGGGGCTTGCAGCTTCTCGTTTCACTGTGTGAGACTTGTCCACGTGTAGGAAGATTCCAAAACTCCCGCTTTGGTGGTACATTTGTGTATTACGAAATATACATGAGGAGCCCTGAGGAACAACCTTGATGATTGTTTCAATTTTCCTGTAGCTCGCGAGCTTAAGCCTATGAAGCTCAACGACATTCCACTTGAAACGCCTGAACCCCAGCCCTGGACGGGGGTACATCCTGAAACCGAGACCGTAAAGGACCCTACACCGTCAAAACCTGAAAACCCCAAACCCCAAACTTTGAGCTTTTGATTGTAGCAAAGCCTGAACCTGCACTTGTAGCCCCCATATAACTACAGTAGAGTTTATCCCAAAACCCTGTTGGCCCTCAAAGCCGGGGAGTCTTCAAGGGACCCTTCACCGGCCTTGGCGCCCGCCGGCTGCTCCGGGCCAACCTCGGCGAAGACTTGTTTGCAAGCTGGAACTTAGGATTTCTTAGGGTGTCGGGTTTAAGGTTTAGGTTGAGGGTTTAAGGTTTAGGTTGAGGGTTTAAGGTTTAGGTTGAGGGTTTAAGGTTTAGGTTGAGGGTTTACGGTAAAGGGTTTAGGGTGTAGGGTCCTCAGAATGGGGTTCCTATATACATGCTAAACTTGGGGGTGTTCTCTACCATCATTTGTAGGCATCTACTATGACAGAAACCCTGGCGACTCCGTGCCGGCAACGGGGCTTACAACAGAAACTGTAACGGAGCTGTAACGGACCTGTAAAGGAGCTGTAACGGAGCTGTGACGGAAGCTGTAACGGAGCTGCAGAAGCTGCAACGGAGCTGTAACGGACCTGCTACGGAGCTGTAACGGAGCTGTAACGCAGCTGTAACGGAGCTGTAGCAGAAGCTGTAACGGAGCTGTAACGGACCTGCAACGGAGTTGTAACGGACCTGCAACGGAGCTGTACCGGAAGCTGTAACGGAGCTGTAACGGAGCTGTAGCAGAAGCTGTAGCGGGGCTGTAACGGACCTGCTACGGAGCTGTAACGGACCTGCAAAGGAGCTGTAACGGAAGCTGTAACGGACCTGCAACGGAGCTGTAACGGAGCTGTAGCAGAAGCTGTAACGGACGTGCAACGGAGCTGTAACGGAAGCTGTAACGGAGCTTTAGCAGAAGCTGTAGCGGGGCTGTAGCGGGGCTGTAACGGACCTGCTACGGAGCTGTAACGGACCTGCAAAGGAGCTGTAACGGAAGCTGTAACGGAGCTGTAACGGAGCTGTAGCAGAAGCTGTAACGGAGCTGTAACGGACCTGCAACGGAGCTGTAACGGACCTGCAACGGAGCTGTAACGGAAGCTGTAACAGAGCTGTAACGGAGCTGTAGCAGAATGCTGTAACGGAGCTGTAACGGACCTGCAACGGAGCTGTAACGGACCTGCAACGGATCTGCAGCGGAGCTGCAACGGAAACTATGACGGAACTGTAGCAGAAGCTGTAATGGGGCTGTAACGGACCTGCAACGGAGCTGTAACGGAAACTGTAACGGAGCTGCAACGGAGCTGTAGCAGAAGCTGTAGCGGAGCTGTAACGGACCTGCAACGGAGCTGTAACGGACCTGCAGCGGAGCTGTAACGGAAGCTGTAACGGAGCTGTAGCAGAAGCTGTAGCGGGGCTGTAACGGACCTGCAACGGAGCTGCAATGGAAACTGTAACGGAGCTGCAGCGGAGCTGTAGCAGAAGCTGTAGCGGAGCTGTAACGGACCTGCAACGGAGCTGTAACGGACCTGCAGCGGAGCTGTAATGGAAGCTGTAACGGAGCTGTAACGGAGCGGTAACTGAGGGCCCAGGGTGGGTAGCGCAAATCCCATAGTAAATGATGGTAGAGAACACCCCCAATGCTAAACACCTGGATCCTTAGGCCTAAACCCGAACCCCTGGAAAGCTTCTAGGACCTAAACCTTAAATTTCCAAGAATCGAGTTAACCCCCGAAACCCTAGTGCGGAAACCCTCCCCGCAAAACCGGTGTCCGGAGCTTAGAGCTTTAGGATCTAGCTTCCGACCGTCTCATGGTCAAGGACTCTGAAGCTTCAAGACCGGCCTAGCCCACGAATAGTGTGCAAATTGAGAGCTCCGAACCCTGAAAACCGAACTGCCATGCACTGCTCCAAAGAAGGCCTCAGGCCTTAAAGAGCTGATCCTCCGAAGCCCCAGCAATTGCGCTTCAAAGCTCCTCCGAAATACCTAATCCCAAAGCCCGAGCTCTATGAACCGAAAACAGGAGAACCCATGGCAATAGTTCTTGATCCCAAAAACCCCGTAATCTAAAACCCAAGACCCCAGAAGCACTTAAACCGTCAACCCCAAAATGCAGCTCCTACATCCTAAGCCCCAAAAACCTTCGAGGTTTTTTTAAATCCGGGCCTCGGAGGAGTTGTTAGCACCGTCGAAATTCGACACCTCGATTGCAACTATCAGAAAATGAGCTGTGCTCTTAAAAAATGAGAAAAGGAGAAGGAAAGAAGGCTTCGGACTAAGGCTTCTGGGCTTCAAGCGCTTTAGGGTTTTGGGGTTTTCATTATGGGTTACTGTAGATCTACGGTCGGATGGATACATGTTATTATGGGTTACTAGCTGTTTGCTAGACCGATGTCGCAGGATTGTAGGGTCTAAGGGATTCAGGGCTCTGGAAGCCTGCCAAAGAACTTGCAATCGACCCCAAACAGCTAGCCTCCTCGGTGAAGTTGGCAAGGACAGAGAGAAACGGCTCGCGGCGAATGACCTTTCCACGTTGGGCTTTTCGGCGCCGTCAATTATTTGGGAGATATGGTCTGGTGCTGAGAGGCCGAAACACGAGTCGCGCCAAGTCTGGGCCAGAATTGCGCGCAGCACGACCACGTCTAGTACTGTCATGAGCATTATCACCTGCGAGAAGTATTCCAGCTATGGGCACTTGGCCTTGGAAGTTCATGACAGATTTAGGTCTTGGTTAGTAGGAGAGGGTGGGTAGGGTTGGTTTGGGTACAGGGTCTCCGGTTCCTTAAAGGCAGGCTTTGTGCAACCCACGTCACTCAGAAACGAGAATCTAAGCCGCTTCAACGAAAATGAAAGCCCACACAAATCCTACGCTCCCTAAACCCTAAAAACCCAGAAAAAAGCTAAAAGCCAACAAAAACTGAGCCCTGAAGCCCCACAGCATCCCAGCCCTGATGAGCTCCACTCTCCGCCTCGTCCCGCAATGGGCCGGTGACCAGAGCCCCAATGATGCGCGACACGAGGATGCCGCGGAGCTGGGCTTTCAGACATTGGTGATTTGTAGGCTTGGGCCTTGTAGGCTTCGAATTTCAAGGTTTAGGGCGTCGTTAGCAGTGTCCTGTAAGCTTTAAGACCGAGCTCGTAGGGTTTGAAGTGCGACGGAAACAGCCTTTTTCGGGCCTCTCACATAGGAGTCCAGAGCTTTGATAATGCTGGTGCAGTCAGTGCTTTTGTTTGGTGTGGATCTCTGAAAGTTCGGATGTGGTTAACACCCATGTGCCAAGATTCGCTGAATCGAGTCGAATACTGGAACCTCAAAAGCTTCGCAAAGCCCTGGGACTACGCCGCTGCAAGATGGCTTAGCTCGTCTGCATAGTGCCTCCGGTGACACCATGGGTGGAAGAACCCTAGGCCAAAACCCCACATCCTTCACCGAGTGTAAACTTCTCAACCGTGATTTCGAGCCCCACGACTGTATGTAGACCCATCCTTTAGTTCCCTAATCTTCAAGCTAGACACGGAAGCGGAAGTTCCTGATCCTCGCATCTTCAGTTTCGGGTCCATTTGGAGCTCCGGGCTTATGTCTTGAGTTTTTTGGGCATCATCGAACCCTACGGTACGTCCCAAACCTTGAACCTTACATCCTGAACCGTTCGCTCGGCAACCGAAGCCTCGAAAATCTGACAAACTGCAGACCCTGGACAATTGGATGCTCGTGCAAAGCCCTTCGAGAAAAACTGAGCTGCAGCCCCAAGCCCCTCCAAACACTACACCAACCCTGAACCCTCAACCCTGTGTCTTGTGTGGAAACCTGAATAAGTGGGCTGTGGCTTAGGAGGTTTCAGGGAACTAGAATAAGTCATAGACAACTGGAGGGACGCAGACATACAACCCTTTCAAGGAAAGCATCAGGTGAAGAAATTGGGAAGAAGCCAGAGAAATTCATCCTATGGACCCCGAGCATGTAGACGCCGAGCACTCGGCCAGCGAGCTGGGCAGCCGACGGACCCTGGCCACAGTCCATGAAGACTTTGATGTCTGTGAGTTGCAGCGAATCTTGACTGAGTTTCTGTAGCTGTGCGCAAACTTGACTTGTGAGAGGTTTTGGTAACGTCGGACGCATATCCATTGTCGCAGGTCGTGCGTTTCGGGCCGGGGTTGCTTGAGGTCAGCCCTAAGCAGGTCTCGAAGACCAAAACCTTGCAGAATCCCATTAGACCCAAAAAATCGAACAGCAGCCGGCAGCACGGAAGCATGGGATGCAAGTCGTTGGCATCCATGTGCACTTTGGCAACCAGACCTGTCAAGACGAGGGATGCTATATCCTCAAGTAAGCACACTGTACGGAGTTGTTTCAAAGCTTAGGGCTTCAGGAGCACAGCACGTAGCCATATAGTTGAAGCTGCAAAGCATGCTCTCTTCTATAGAGTGTGGGGATTTGGACATGGGAATACAAACGAGGATGCTATTTTGGATGCTTAGTCTTATCAACTCCTCGTGGGGATTCCAGCTAGTTGGAACCCAAGGCCCAGACTTCCCAAAAGCTTCGAGGAGCTTTGCAAGAGTGTGACAGGAAGCACACACACTCATGCACCCCGGAATTACGTAGGCCGATCAACCCTTGTCTCCGCCCCCGAATCCCAAACATCGACGCGGCCTCCGTGGTGTTCGCTCGCAGCTTCTTGCACGCCTGATGGCAAGCTTGAGGTGTGCTGCAGGATTCATTTAGTATGGGACAAACCCTGCGAATCCTGCACTAGAGATTCCATACTCCTACGAAGCCCAGAAGCCCTCCTCTGAAACCCTAAGAACCCATAATTCGACACCGCCTATGGAAACCTTAAGCCCCATAAACATCTCCCCCAAAAGCGCACGGCCTCGCCGCAGCGCCGGCGGCAGCTCCAACACCGAGCGCTCGGCGGCCACCTCGCAGCGGACGACCTCCAAAAAGGCAGAGGAAAAGGACGCCAGGATCCTACTATCCACGGGTAAAGAGGAGGGACCCTTGATGAGGACCCCTAGGTATATACCCTCAATATAGCTATTATATACCCATTATATAGCCCATTATAGGGTAGGGGTCCCCATTAAGGGTCCCTCCTTTTCCCCTTTGATACTAGCAACAAAGGAACGAAACCGTGGGGAAAGGAAAGGATAAAGGATAACTTCTAGGAGTGGTTTACGGCTGCAGGGCCTTGCGGACTCGAGATCAAAGGAAACAGTACACTGTACATAAGTGATGATTAAACGTGTAGGGCTACGCCACTCATCTTCTGACCCAAAGCAACAGACCAGGACAGAAAGAGAAAAGAACTTTGGAATTCGGGATTTTGAGATTTTAGAGCTTGGAAGTTAAGCGTTTGCGCTTCGGGCTAGTGGGTTCGCACGATTTTTCGGAGTGCTTTGACTGTTATCAGAACTGTTCTTCAAATACCGATGATGATTACGATTACTATTGGCGGCATGGGTTGGGTGCGGAGGTCTACGTACTCTCTTGATATGTTCTTGCATCTATGTTGATTGACCTTCTCGTTTTTAGTGTTTGTAGGTGTCGCACGCGCCTTGCTGATCGTAGTGATCGGTTTTTGTTGTTGCGATCAGGTTGAAAATCTTCGTGTTCTTCTGACACCGCCGTTACAACTGTTCGTCTTTCTCTATTCTGATTGAAACTCCCGGGTCTCAATATCAATACTTCACGTGCTGCAGAGGGCTTCCGCAGTGCTGAGCTTTGGAAGGACCAGTTTACCAAGTGGCTTGGCTCCGTGGCTGGGTGAGCTGGGCTTTCGAACCGAAACTATATCGGGCGAAACCCTGCAACTCGAAACTCTAAACCCTACACCGAAACTCAAAGCTAAGCTCCTTCGGGGTGCCTCAGATGTATGAACGGAGCTCGAGTTCGGCGCAATGTCGTCTGCCACAGACCTTAGCTCAGGGGTATGGGATGGAAGGAGGACTTTCCGACCGAACTATCGGACTTGCAAAAAACACCCCGACAAGACTCAGACTTCTCCCAACGCACCCAATCTATTCTGCACTCCCACACATTTATTAACCCTTAATGTCCCAGAGCGGGGTAGGGCTACAAAAGCAAGATCAAATTGCGAAACTTAAAATCCGAAGCCTGGAACCACCCAGCACAAAATTCAAATCGAAACTTCTGCACCGTGATCCCAAACCGCAAACTGCAGTGCCTCAATCCCAGCCAGCATATACTGGTGTTTGATGGCTGGCTGGCGGATGTTCCTTTCTCCGCAACAAAGATGGAGCAGGAGTGCCGCCGTTTGCAGTGCAGTTCTCATCTCCTCCTTTTGCAGTGCGGCTCGGGTCAAGTCGCTGGCCCGTGTGCAGAGACCTTCCAATTTGCATTCTCGTCGGCCGCTCCCCAGGACGGAGAGTTCGAGCTGAACCTTAATCAAACCGGACAGCCTGACCCTGAACTCGAAACCTAAAACAGTTACTCCACGGTAACTCCCTCTTTTAACTCGCATCACCAAACTCAGATGCGCAGTCGGGAGCACAGGGCAGCCTTCAAGAGAAGCCTGAACTATCCTGAATTCGGACGTCGACCCTGAAACTGGAAGCTTGCATCCTAGATCCCTAGAAGCCGACATGACGACCCTGAGCCCTCGAGGCCCCCCGGCCCAAACGAAGGCAGAGCCAGCTCAATGATGAGCAGCTCAGCGGCCGCGCCTGTGGCCGAGTAGCTGAGTAGCAAGGCGGAGTCATCACAAGTCCTAAAGTCTTGGAGTTTAGGGTTTAGTGCGAAGTGCCTGGAGCTTGCTGTGAAGGGTGGAGGCTTAGGCCTACAAGGCTTCTGGGAGCTGATTCTCTGGTAGGTTTGGGATCTGCGTTGAACGTGCCGAGTTCCAGGTCTTGGGTTTGAAAGACATGGAAAGCTTGATTTAAAACCAACCCGACCAAAGATACATTGCTCATTGCAAGCGGAAACACCCTACCTTTGAGGTCCCAGACTAACATGCGCGAAGCCGAAATTCCGAAAACCCGACTTCGGATGCATGTTGACCGGGCCTCCTTTAAATCTAGAGCCTCAACCCTAAACCCATGGCACCCTAAACCCTGCGCTGCCTGAACGCACATCCACACACGCACAAACCGAACAACCCCGAGCCCAGAACCTAAAATGATGAAGGCCCAGACCCAAAACCTGATGATGACTCTCCCGGCATACTGCCGACGGACAACGTCCTGCACCACTACCTGAAATATTCAAATCTTGGGAGGGCAGAGTGTTGCCTATCAAGAATACGGTAAAGCCGGTCGAATTTGGGCCTGACGGAGACAACACGTCCGTCAGGCGCTCGGCCAGCGGGTCACTGTGCAGCCTGGGCTTTGGAGGGCTTTGGTGCTGGGGGGCCACGGCCTCGTATAGACCCTTCGAAAGGGCTTGCAAGGTCCAGGGCTTGGAGGCAAGACAGCAGCCTAAGGCTTAAGAGCTGGTTTTGGGGTCAAGTATTCAAGAACGGTTGGGTTTAGGGTCTAGGGTCCGGTTTTGCGGCTATCTTCAAGGATTCGGCTTAAGGCAATTTCGGGCTGCGACCAGGTGTTGGGCACGTCGGGCTACCCCAAATCAAATTTGCAGGTTTAGATGCCCAGGGTCTTCAGGGTTTAACGCTGCGGTTTGCAGGTTGTTTGTGCTTCGGGGCGTTCGGGGCTTCGGCTTAGGCTTTGCGATTTAGGACTTCGGGGTAACCCATAGCAAAACCCCCACCCAAGCGCTCCCTGAGTGACTCCAGCGCCCTATAGCAGATGTTCACAGCGTTCTGAAAGCTTTGCAAACCTTGATCCCGAAAATGCTAAACCTCCAACACAGGCCAGCGGCTGCGAAAGTGCGGAGGGAAGTAGTGCCTGAAGGATGGGTTTGGGGGATGCTGGAAGTTGCACTTCAAAAGGTACGGGTTTGAGGATCTTTGCTGGCTGCAAGAGCCTTGTGCTTTGCGGCTTCGTGCTGCGATCCCCAGGTCTCAAACCTAACCCAAATTCCCATGTGAAACGTTGCTGTAAGTTGTGGATACAGGTTCAACCGTACACTCCTAAACCCCACTGCCACATGTCACATGACCATCATGGCTCACAGCACACAGCAGCAGGAGTATAAACAACGAAGGAGGCGTCTGCACAAGAAGCACATCTTGGCTCGAGAAGATAAGTGTAAAAGGCCTCGGACAGGCTTGTGGTTTAAGAGCTTCCGCAGGCTTCTTCTCAAGGCACCGCAAAACCTAGGGACGGGTTTATGGTCTTGAGGATTCTTGGTCCAAGCTTGCTGCTGGACCCCGAATCCTCAAACCCAATCCTGGAAGCAGGCTTGCGAAGCAACGGTTAATCCTTCGAACGTTCAGCCAAAGCTCAGCCAAGCTGTTTGTCAAGAACACCCTAGAATCCTCAACCTTAACCCTCAACCCTCAAGCCTAAAAGCCACCAAACCACTAAGGGCTAACGCCCAAATCCCCAATCCCTAAACCCTAAACCCTGAAAAACTACAAACCCCCACACCCTTCCAGCGTGGACGGGGCCCCAGCAGCGTGCAACACAAGCACGGCGCTAAGCCTCGTTACGACCAGGGCCGGTCATAGGATTGTCATCTAGGAATGTCGGGGTCTGTTTTTGGCAGTGTCTTTTTCATTCGAGTTTAGGGCTTATGGGTGTTACTTCTCGGGTTGTATGAGGGTTGATTATAATTAGGATGGCCCCTTATGGATGCTGCAAGGCTTTACATAGGGGCCTTAGCAACCAGAAGGGGGTCTGAGACAGTAGAAAAAGACTAAGGAAGCTGGCAAAAACAACTGTGTTGGCAAGCATTCAGGCCCGTACATGATGTCCACGGCGAGACTTCAACTTCAGGGATCTGGGGTTGAGGGGTTTAGCATCAAGGCACCGGGCGGACGCTGAAGTTTGGGACTTCAGGGTTCAGAGCTTTGAGAGGCGTTGATGTTGCGGGGTTGCTGACGACTTGAAGACTTTGAGAGTTGGGCGAGAAGGACGACTGCAGGCAAGAGATGCCTCCATGAGTGGTGCTCAATCCTGAGAAACCGGAAGCCTGGACTTAGGGATCCCGAGCATGCATCCTTGTTGTTTTCGATCGCAGGCATAGATGCAAGATGCGACAACAAGCACTGCCCCTCCGTCGTCGGTGGCAATCATCCAGTGAGCACCGGCTTCCGAACGAGTGCATACTGACAACTGATGTGTTGCCGGTCGCAGGAGCAGACTATGTCAATCTACCCAGGTTTCCTTTTCGTGCCTTTTCTCAGGTTCACAGCATGATCAGCCCCGAGAATGTGCGCACTCTCCTGTTGGCCATGGATGCATGCACTGACAATCGCACTCTCGCAACCAAAGTTTTCCCATCTCTTGTATGCACCAGCTTGCAAGAGCAGGTGCGCGATCTCACCGCGTCCTTCGATAAATGCAAGATTCAGCGCTGCATGCCCGTCATTGATGTTAAAGAAAACCTGGTTGGCCCCGGCTTCCAATAGCATGCGGACTATGTGCACATGTCCTTTGTCGCATGCACGAACGAGCGCTTTGCTGCCGTCAATGACCTTCAACCAACCGCTGGCACCAGATGCCAATAGCAGGCGGACAATCTCAATGTGAGCTTGGTCACACGCGAGCGCCAAAGCTGTGTTTCCATCTTTGCTCTCCAGGCTGATGTTGGCACCCGCTTCCAAAAGCATGTGAACAACGTCAATGCGGCCAGTCTCGCATGCACGCATGAGGGCTGTGTTGCCACGAGCATTTTGAAGATCAATGTTCACGCCGGTATGCAAGAGCATGCGTGCAAACTCAATACGGCCCTTGTCACATGCAATAATGAATACAGTGTTGCCTTCAATCGTCTTGAAATCCGTGCTGACGCCAGCTTCCAACAGCATGCGTCCAATGTCAACGCGCCCTTCCTGGCATGCAAGATTCAGAGCTGCATGCCCGTCATTGATGTTAAAGAAAACCTGGTTGGCCCCGGCTTCCAATAGCATGCGGACTATGTGCACATGTCCTTTGTCGCATGCACGAACGAGCGCTTTGCTGCCGTCAATGACCTTCAACCAACCGCTGGCACCAGATGACAACAGCATGCGGACAATTTCAATGTGGGCTCGGTCACATGCGAGCGCTAAAGCTGTGTTTCCATCTTTGTTCTCCAAGTTGGTGTTGGCACCAGCTTCTAGGAGCATGTGAACAACATCAACGCGGCCTGTCTCGCATGCACGCATGAGGGCTGTGTTGCCATCAATGATATTCTTCCAATCTTTGTTGGCGCCAGCTTTCAGCAGCATCCATGCAATCTCGGTGTCAGTTTGGTCGCATGCAAGAATCAGAGCGGTGTTGCCACTTTTGTTGACACGCTCCGTTTTCGCACCAGATCCTACGAGGATGTGCGCAATGTCAACGTGACCTTTGGCGCATGCACGAATGAGGGCTGTGTTGCCATCTATGTTTTTTAAATCCACATTGGCCTGGGCTTCCAACAGCATTTGCACAATGCCAATGCGGGCTTTGTCACATGCAACAATGAAGGGAGAGTTGCCAACTTTGTTCTGCAAATCCATATTGGCGCCAGCCTCTAAGAGCATGCTAGCGATGTTCAAGTGGCCTTTGTCGCAGGCCCGCATGAGAGCAGTGCAGCCATCAGTGCTCTTTAGATCCTTGTTGGCACCGGCTTCCAAAAGAAGTCGCACAATCTCAGCGTGGCCTCCGTCGCACGCACGTATAAGCGCTGTGTTGCCACCAGCAATGTCCTTCAAATTCGGAATGGCGCCTACTTTCAGAAGCATGCTTGCGATCTTAACGTGACCCTTGTCGCTTGCCCGAATGAGGGCTGTATTGCCAGCAATGACGTCCTTGAAATTTGGGTTAGCACCTGCCTCCAATAGCATGCACACTATCTCCTCATGTCCTTCGCCGCATGCAGAAACAAGAGCTGCGTTGCCCATGTTTTTCAACCCTTTGCTCAATCCAGCCTCAAACAGGAGCAATCGAACGGCTTCAACATTCCCTTTCTCAGAAGCACGAACCAGTAAGTGCACAAGTTCCCCGAATGCTGCTCCGGGCGCAGGTACCAAAACCAGCTGCAAATCAACAGGTAAGGTCAGTTCAACATCATCATCCAAACTACAGTCGGCGAGCACGAGCTGCTGCACGCACTCTGGGAAGTCATAAAGGAATGTCAGATGCTCCTTCAAAGCTTTCACGGTCTTCAAGTCCCCAACACTCACTGCAGCCAGCTCTTGACCTGAAAGCCTCGAGACGCGAATCATCCCGATTGGCCGAAAGAGTGTGAAATCCAAACAGACGGCGCTGGCATGCCAGCGGAGGTGAAGCCAAACATGGCTGTCGCACCGAGATGACGAGGGCGCTTTGTCTGCACCAGATCCCCTACATTACAAGCTCATGCCTGTTCAGAGCACAGGCTTGAGTCATGGCTCGCCACGGCTTTAGAATTGAGGGTTTGGTGTTAATTCGGACCTAAGGTCTCGGAACTAAAGCCCAAAATGCAAGTCCTTCGGATTGAAGTTGCAGTTCGGCTTGATGGCTTAGGTCTCCAGCTTTTGCAGGTAGGATCTAGAGCCTTGAACGCTGCGCCTTCAGACAAGGTAAGGCCACTTCATCGGGTCTCAAGCTCTCATGGACAAAAGCAGCCCAAAACCCAACCCCAAAACCCAAAGCCTGAACTACTTAGCCGTGGCGCTGGATGAGTGAGGCCACGAGGAGCAGCAGCTCCACGCTGAGGCGCACACACCTGGCAAGCCCGGCTCGAGCTTCAGGGCTCCTATGGGGCTTAGGGACTACAGTAGGGTTTGGAAAAAGAGCTGGAACCCCAAGAACCTGAAGAAGCCTAAGCCCCTCTAATTCGGACACCACTAAACCAGGGTAAAGGTTTTTTTTGGCGGTGGCCCGGGCCGCGGGCCGCGCATAAAAAAAACTACTATGCTAAACCAAGACCCTGAAACTCGAACCCTAAACTCGCTAAGCGGCTCAAGGTGTTGGGGTTGAAGGCTGAAGGAGAGACGTTGGGCGGAAATGAAGGCTTCCACCCTAGACACGAAGCCCTAAGCATTGTTTAGGCTTTAGGGTGCTTTACCCCGAACCCTCAAAACCCTAAACCCTCTAAGCCATCAGTACTTCACATGCCAGCACCACGGCGGCACCGCGCGGACGTGGCGCACGGCGCGGCGGTGCAAAGCCCAGGTGAGACGCCTCTGTCGGGGATTTGCGGTTGGGGTTAAGGGTTTCAGGATGTGGGATTAGAGTTCAGGGTTTGCGTTCCAGAGCGCTCAGGGCCTCAGGTTTTTTTCGGTCTGTCGAATCTCCGGTTTCGGATGTAAGAGATGCCTTGACATCCATGTAGGGTCTCTTGCTGAGACTTCCTCTGAGCTCACCGGGCTCTAACCCCAAAGCCTGAATCGCATCAGGGTCTAGGGCCTTGGAGCTTGAAGTCTTGTGTTTGTGGCTTCGGGTTCGTTTTTTGGCGGAGTTCTTCTACTATCTCAGCAAAGCTGTAGCCCTTGCACCCGGAACGTCGAACACAACTCCTGTAAAACCAGCACACCAGACAGGGCCACCTCACGGGTTCAGGGCCCAACACTGCAAACCTACACCCCCGATCCCTAAACTCTCTTGCAACCCCACTCCAGCTCTCCAAAGCAAGCTTCCAGAGCTCCGGCGAACCATAGATCCTAAACGTCGCTGACCCGGGCAAAGTTTAGGCCTGCTTAGGATCTAGATTCAGTGCCGGCCTAAGTGCAGTCCACGAGCTTCGAAACTGCTTAAACCGAATATCGAAAACCTCAAGTAACATTAAGAGCGAATATGTTTCGGCTATAGTTTAGGATTGGAAGTGTATGCTCAGAACACTCAACAAGCTGATGAATGCTCCGTCGCTGCAGAAGCGGAAGCCTGCACAGACCCCATGGCCACATCCTTGCAAGGTCTCATCAACATCCCATCATACCTTGTACATATCTCATGCACCTCGACAAAACTGTATGCCTGTACTCCACTTCCTCCACGCAATATCACTTCAATCACGCCTTGAAAGCCCCAACCTCACCCCTAAACCCTAAACCCCAAAGCCCCAGCCGTAGCCACAAAAGCCGCCCAAGCCCAGAGTCACAGAAGGCCTGAAGAAGAAGCGGTCATCCACGATGACCTTCGGCGCCCTCTCGCTGGCCTGCTGCTCCACCCTAGGCCCTAGCAGCTCCCCGACTCCCCCGACTCCCCCGACTCCCTACCCAAGGAATCCAACAAAATGGCCATGGTGTGGCGGGAGTTGCGTTGACTCTGTGACCGTTTGCTGAGTCTGAGGCTGAATCAGTCAAACGATTGCATAAGACAAGATGGGAATTGAAGCAGTTAAGCGACTAAAGTGAACCAAGGCCCATGAAATCAAATTAACATCAACATGTTGGATCAAGTCGAACCCTAAAGCCTAAACATAAACGTAAAGCCCCAGAACATCCCCAAACCTATGGCAACAACCGAACTGGGAACTTGGTCTCCACCTCCGGCTCGCGCCGCTGCGGCGAGAACACGGCGGCGAGGTCGGCCTCAACGGGGGCTCGGGCGTTGGGTGTGAGCGTCAAAAAACATCTCCTTTAAGGTGTGTGTATATATGTATATATACACACACATACCTATAATGTATGTATATATATATATATATACAGGTATACACACACATTGGATAAACATATGTATATGTATGAGTTGTTTCAGGGTCCAGGGTTTGCGCTTGCAGACCCCAGCTTTATGGTTTGGTGCTTTCGGGCTCCGGGCTTACATGGGCTCCGGGATTGAAAACTTAAGTGTTTAGGCGCTTCGTGTTTGGGGTTGGCTTGCAGATGTCGGGGTTCACACTCCCCATCATCCTAAACGAACCTTACACCCATAAACCAGTGAAAGCATCTTGAGCCACAAGCCCCAGGCGAGCCGAAATCCAGAACCTCCGGAGCCTCGACTTTAACCACCAATGCTCCAGCCTCAAACCTTCAAAACACCTCGAATTCCTGCCATCGTTCACCTGAGAAACCGGATCCTCGAAGCTCCCAAACCCAATAGTCACAACTCCAGATTGATACCTCAACCTGAGAGCCCTACACCCTCAAAGCTCACTGTCTGCAAAATCTCACACACATCAATGCTGGTAGAGGCAGTCGAAACAGCCGCGGCCGCTGAGGCACAGGCGGTACAGTTCGGAAGCATCGTGCGGAGCCCATTTTCGTCTCTAGGCCGCCGTCTCTAAAAGATTGAGGCTGAAGGAGCTTAAGGCTTTGAGTTGAGTGCTTCGGGGTCTAAGGCTCAGGCTCAAGGGCTTCAGGGTTGCACAAGGTTCTTCTAGGTTCGCGAGAGTGTGCGGAACTGAGGCTTAGGGATTGAAGGCTGCAGACCGCAGACTCTTGCACGGGCTTAAGTCGTTGGTCAAGGGCTTTAGGCTTCAGGCGTCCAAATCTATTCCGTTGATGCTGTTGAATTCATCGCTGCTAGGGTTCAGGGTGCTAGGTGCAGGTGTAGGGGTCGGGGTTGAGAGTCTACTGTCCGGTTTGGAGTGTTGGGCTGTGGGTGATGTCGTAGGCTTATGCTTGAGGGCTTTTGGCTTTTCGAAGGAACCCCTCCGTGATCTTCAGACATTCGGGGTCATGGTTGACTCATGCTTCGATCTCTGAACCGCCGGCAGATTGACACCACCATCTGGGGGGTTTCTGAATTTTAGGGCTCGTCGACACGGTCCTTGTAATGCCAAACCCTTATAAGAGGTGGGTCGTCACCTAAAGGATGGTTTTCAATAGAACAACCCCATCTAGTAGTGAGGATGTACTGTCACAGTAACACAAGAAAGCCGTAGCCGCTTGAAGTTGCTTATTGCAGTAAGCAAAACCCCAAGCTCAGACCCTACTGCAAAAAGTCGGCCCTGAGCTGAAGCCAAGGTCCCAAGGTCATCAACAGCCGCATCACCAAAATTGAAAATACTGTGAACACCTGACAACTACCACAACCATCTGGGGATGATAAGGGAAGACATTGATGGCCCGACAATCTTCTCAATCTGCCGCTTTCCAAAACTGAGTAAGTAAGATTGTAAAGCACTGAGCCCTTCTCTGGTTCTATCCCATCATATCCCCCAATATTCCAAGCCGACTCTTCGGCATTGACTTCCGGGCACTTGGGGAATGGGGTCGGTGGTTTTCCTTGCAACAACGATCCTATTATTTTGAGATCTGTTTGGGCACCCCTTCGTTTCTGAAGCTCACATTCAGGGGGCAGAATGCTTTCGGGCTTAGTCAAGTTTAGTCTTCGGGTATTGGAGTTTAAAGCCTCGGATTCATGTGGGGTCTGTGAGGAAAGTCAGATTTCAGGATCACCGGCCCTGGGGCCTATGGAGGTTTCAGGACGTTACGCAGGGCTTAGATCTGCGAGCCTCACAGTTCCGCAGCTTTGTGGCGACGCTTACGCATTAATGTCAGTGTTGCGGCTGAGGTACTGTCTACGAAAAAGCCAAACAGTCACCGAATGCAGAGCTCGCCTGAGAGCTCATACTGCCCTGAGAAGACTGCGACAAGACGAAACAAAGGCCCCTAAGACATACATATATATATATATATATTATCTCTCTCGCCTACACCCTACAACCCTAAACTCATAAACCTCCAAGCCCCAAGCCCTGAACCCTGAACCCCACACCACAAGACCCTGAGCCCCCATCTCCAAGAACGAAAGAACGTGAGCCCATGTCCTCCGGTGGCGCCGCCATCGATTTCGACGGCCTGCTTCAGAGAGGGCTTGAAACCCAGACAGAGAACCCGGAGCAAACGGCCTTATCTTTGGAGGGTGGCTCAAAGAGTGACCATTGTTGCATCTCAGATGCTATGCCTCTGTGCTATCGGTAAACTCTCACAGACTGAGGGCTTCCAATCCTGGAAGATGGGCTCGAGGACTCTAGTGCACATCGTGAGGACTCTACTGCAGTGCTGATGTCGGGCCAATGTCGGAGCTCGAGCATAAGACAAACGAATCTCAGGCCTCGGTGTCAGGACTTCGGGTCCTAGGTCCCGGCTTTAGGGCCCAAGGCCTTCGTTTGTCGAAGTGCTGGGGCTTGAACTCCCAGGGTTCAGGGCTCGTTGCGGTGAAGCCAGGGACGGCTCAAAGGATCCGGTTTTGTATCATAGTGATGATAAGGACGCATGCAGTGGAGAATAGTGTTACTAATAACTCCATATTTTCGCTAGGCATCCCGCACTGCCACAAAAGACGCACTACAATGCAAAACAGTGGATTGCATGACATTACTCCCAATGAAACCTGGCTGGAAAGTCTGCGGAATACTTCCGTCGCAGATGCACGGCCGGAGAACCCCAAGCCCAGCCCTAAACAAGAGCACAACACGCTACACCCTGGGGTGCTTAGTCCTTGTCGTATCGCTTTGCCTGAGATGTAGCATTCAACGACACATGAAACAGCTTAGAGTGCTGCGGAGGATCTGCCCCGCATCCACGTAAATACCTACCCCAAACACTAAACTGGAAATCCCTGAAGCCACACCCTAATGACCCCGATGGCCCCCATAAAGAAGGGGCTCGGATGCCAGCCCGCCTCCCGAACTCACAGCCACATGAACAGGCTTCAGTTTAGTCTAGGTGCTTTGGAGTTGTGTGTCAGGGCTCAGGCGGCTTTGAAGGCTAAGGGTTTCTCGGCTTGTCTCCAGGGCTGCAAATATCTCACGTCCCTCTGAAGGTCGGATCCAAACTGGGGCTTTCCAGAAGATGCCTTCTGGTCTGTCTTCGGCTGCGCTGTCAATTTCCACTGATTTCCTGCATGCCTCTACTGTTTCACGTGTTTTGGACTCGGGGCAGGGGGTTACGGTATCAGCGGGTGGCTGCCACGTTTCTGGCTGCCTGGGTGAAAGCCTCCGCACGAGCCAAGCGCAGCGTCGGTGCAGTGTTTGTGGGTGGGGATAGGGCCGATCTGGACCTCTTAGGGTTCAGAGTACTTGGGCTTAAGGCTTGAGGCCCAACAGCTCAGGACACAAGGCCTCCTCGATTTAATAGAACAAGCGACCCGCCACGGAGCAACCCAGACTGAGCCTGCTCTGGCCTCATCTTGGGGACTGCTTGGACGTCGGAGTTTCTATGGGCTTTAGAGAGTTGGAAGGATCGGGGACCGTGGACATTTTCCGTCACGATCTACCCAACACGCGTTAAACCCAAAGTCTTTAATGCACGCGCTCTACTAAAACAAACATCAGCATGCAGATGCAGGTGCAAGGAGGACATCTTTTTCACGTGGGGTAGCACAAGCTGTCCAGTCTCGCAGCAGACCGACAACCGCAGGGCTGTCACAGATGCAGCACAGTCACAGAGTGCCGCAAACAGCCTACGATCGGTCTGACAGTGCGGCCAGCAGCCCAGCAGCCCCGTACAGCAGGACTAAACAGAGGCCAGAGCACAGGTTTTACAGGTTCGGCAAAACTTTCCGACGCCAGCGTCAGCCTCAGAAGTGACCTGAAAAGAGTCGCTCAGAAGACGGCCACACAGCAGGCGACCAGTAGACTGCTTCACAATGTGCATCAGCCTGTTCTTCTTGTTACCTGCAACGGCGTAGTCCCCCAGACCCAGGATATTTTCCACAAAATGCGGAGCAGCCGCAACCAGTTGTTCAGCGCCATCGTCGCTGCCACAGGATGCCTCGGAAGAGCCACTCGAGCTACTGGTCTCAGCAGAGTCCACAGCCTTGGTTCCAGCAGAAGACTTCTTCTCAGAGCTGCTGGGAGGAGAGGTGACCAAAGAGGCAGAAGCAGAACTCACAGGGCTGGCAGGCTCCTGCCAGCGACCACTTCTGGTGACGTCAGGTTGAAACTTGCCAGAGCGAACAGAGGCAACCACCTGCCAGAGCTCGCGCAACGGCCCGGCAAGGACGTCTCGACGGTAGCCAACATTTGCCATGTTGACGCCATGGCTGTGGTAGCCAAGGAAAGTCAAAGTCTTGTCAGAAAGGCCAGCTTTAGCACACCAGCTGAGCAAAGTTGCCTTGCAGCTGTGGCTGCGTACAGCAGCAACAGAAGCCAGGTCAGCATCAGGGGCCTTGGCCAGGATGCAGCGAAGCCACTGTGTCAGTTGACTGCTGCTGACACACTCCTGCAGCCATTGCCCAGCAGCAGTCAAACAGGGCAGCAGAGGGTGATCCAGAGCTCCAGCATTCTCCAAGCGGTTTGCTTCACGCACAGCAAGGAAAGTAGCACCCCAGGGCACGTCAGACAGGCCGCAGAACAGAGCTGTCAGCGGCATAAACAGGTTTCTCCTGCTAGCCGCGCGTGCCTGCTTTGGATTCTTCACCCTGCACTCCACAAAGCCATCCAGTCCACCAGGTGACAAGTCAAACTCAATGTGCGTAGAGCGACGCAGATCACTGCGCCGAGCACGAGCATAGACCATGAAGCACAGCGTCGACGCAACCAGGCGCTCGTACAAGTCGTCCACAGTGGCAGCGTAGTACTCCAACCACCTGAGCTGAGAGACAGTGAGAGCCGGTGCTTGAGCAACCTCCTCCTTAGTGCGCAGATGTGCATGGGCTAGTCCACGCACACGTGCAGAAAGTAGCTCCTGAACGGCAACGCGCAAGCCCAGGGTGCCGTGCACAAAGTTCAGGCTCGACACAAAGGAGTCTATGCTGGAAGCAGCGGCAGAACTCTGTAACCAACGGCAGTGCAACCAGAGCACACTCTCAGAGAAGGAGTCCTCAGGGCAAGTGCGGCGCCTCCAGAGCACAAACCTAGTCAGTGGCGAGGCTCGTGTCAGCAGAGTGTTCGTGCTCTTCTTGCTGAACAAAATGTCCAAATGCTCCACCATGCACTCATCGCCTTCAGGAGGCAACTTGTCCACAGTCGCAACACAGAAGAGCTCAGGAGCCAGCTTCAGTAAGTTCGACCACTTACAAAGTGCTTGAACTCGTTTGGTACGCTCTTCCTGAGAGCTCCAGCCAAACCCTTTGGACCTGCCGGGCTGCTTGAAAGCAGCAGCAGAAGAAGGCACCTGAGAGCTGAGAGCCAGACCTGTCTGAACAGAGGAGCTCTGTCTAGGAACAGGCACAGGCACAGGTGCCCGGAGCAGGTCGTCCAGAGACTGCTGCAAGTCACAGCGTTGAACAGTCAAGAAAGCGAAAGGTCCAGACTCCCAAGGCAGCTGCAGGCGCTGTCCTCGGCTCCTGACAGG